CTCTCTCTCTCTCTCTCTCTCTCTCTCTCTCTCTCTCTCTCTCTCCTGCCTTTCGCCTCCCTCAAACTTCCACCTGTACTGATAGGATCCCATCTCCCCTGGGTCTCCTGATCCCAGCAGTGCATAAGTGTGGCGCGTGTCCCGCTTCCAACACTGCACTGCTTTTTCTCACAGGGGCTGCTGCGCCCCTGCGCTCCACCCACCTGGGCCCCAGGACTTACCAGCAGCACCACGCTGGTGGTGCCTCAGATTGTTGAACCAACCATCAAAGCGCTGCACTTCCCAGGGCAGTGAGGGTGCGTCCTGGCCGCCTGTGGGCACAGAGAGCATTCTCAGCACTAGCTTTCCAGTGACCTCTCCAGGACCCGACTGGCTTGGCCATGTCGCCAAGCTCCCCAACGGGATTCAAGGGGCGATACTTGCGATGTCCTGGGTATCCCATCCAGCTGGCCTGGACAGAGATCTGACTCCATATTCCAGCTACTGGAAGCCGCTTTGCCTGCACTTCTTCCTTCTCACACCCCCCTGGGTAACACCTCGCAGCTAGAGAAACCCGATACTTACTGGCTGGATCCAGGAGTCCCGTCAGCAGAGCTCCCAGGAGCACTAGTGCCTCTGGACTTGCTCGGAGCATACTGACCTTGCAGTCTGGGAACGGGAATGGTATGTGAGGGACATTCACTCTCCTACAGCAGATACTGTAGAAGTTCCAGCAGTTTCCACTTCTGGAGCAAAACTTCTAGAAGCATCAAGGAGGACCCTCATTCTTTACAGAATAACTTGCAACTATGAAGGCACTGAAACTGTTCTTCACTTTTCACCCCATCGAAGAGCTAACCTCGACCTCGGAAACCATCCAGGTGTGAGTCCTCTGGGACATGTTAGTTACAGGCAGAACAACCCAACCTTCCAGAGCCCTAACTCAAAGACTGGAATCCCCTACCCACAATACTGCTTCTCCAGAGGTGATAGGGAAGGTAAAGAGGCTAATGAGCTGGGAGCCCAGGAACAATAGCCCACTCACTCCCTCCGCAATGAAGGATGAGAGCTAGAGGGGGTCCAACCTCTTAGTTTAGGGCCCCGGTCGGGGACAGACGTTTTATTTCTTCTTGGAATCTATAGTTCTCTACTCTGTTTCCTGTCTTCAGTCCGTTACTCCAGCGCTCCGGATCTTCAGCCTTCCCCGCGGCACGCTCTTCGCCCTTCTTCAGAGACCTCAGTCTCGCCTCTGTACGGGTGTCAGCTCCGGCCAGAACCGCAAAAGGTGTGAGTATCTAGACCTGGGGCTCGCCCTCCAGTTGTAGAGGAGGGGCTCGCATAATGACCTCCGCCCCTCTCATTTGCATGACCTCTTCCCGCAAGGACCCTGCTGCCAGGCTGGAACGCTACGCTGCATCCTGCCCACGCCCCTATAAAAGGGGCCTAGGTGCTGCTCGACTTCCAAGCACAGCGAGAACACCACAGAGCCAGGAAAATAACTTGCCTGTGGGAAATAATTCCGCTCGCTGGATAACCCATGGGCGCTTCAGGACAGCCTGCCTCAGTACTTCCTTAGAGGGGAGCACGGAGCTCAGACCTGACCCTCCTTCTCTGGGGTAATCCGAGCTCTCCTGCCCACCTGCCGGCGTGAAGTTCTGGATCTGCTAGCAAGATGACTTTGTGGAACGATGTACTGCCTTTTTACCCCCAGCCGCCGCATGCCGCCGGCTTCAGCGTCCCGCTGCTCATAGTCATTCTAGTATTCTTGGCCTTGGCCGCCAGCTTCCTGCTCATCTTGCCTGGGATCCGTGGCCACTCGGTAAATAGATGCTGGAAGCTCGGGTCAGGGGTTGAGGTGGGGGTCTGTCGTGGGCATTATGTCTCTTGGAGACAGAGGACAGGTAGAATTGTAAAGGGGTCTCTAAGAATAGTCAAGCTGAAGGTCAGGTGGAGTAAATTCAAAAGTCTGGCGCAGCGCTTCTCAAGAAAGAGAGAGCTCCCTGTCCAAGACATCCTGGAAAAGGACTCCAGCAAGAGCATTTGGAAGGGTACTGCAGAGAATGGGCACCCAGTGTGTTAATCCTAGAGTTGATTGTAGGCTTCACAGTCTCCCAGGGACTCCTACCTTTTCTTGGACAGCAGCTGCACTCCTATCCTGTCCTCTGGGTGATGATGTTTGGGCCAAAAGGACAAACACTAGTAGCTCAGACTGTTGTTTCTCCTTTATGTTGGGTTAAGGTGTATGTGCATGGGTGCCTCATCCTAAAGACTCAGAAGATACTACACAGGATTCCAATTTGTAGCATTCTGCGGGCATTTCCTTAGTCTCTTCCCTCCCCCAGAACCCAGGTTGTACATTTTTCCAAGTCTAGAAGGTCCCAGTCTTTCTTTGTCTGGATCTTTGGTGGTTTCTCAGGGAACTGGCAGACCTAGGAATATCTTTATTTCCACCTCCTCTACTTGGCCTCTATGCCCTGGGGCCTCCCACTTCTGGAAGAGGTGACCCCTGCCTGCCTAGTACTTCTGGACTCACTGAGCCTTACCATGCAGTGATTGGAGTAGGAAGTGGGCAGGGACCAGACTCCAGAGAGCTAGGGGAGTGAAGGTGACTGAAGAGTGTGGGGCAAGTTGGACCCGGAAATGGAGCTGGGGAGGTGGAAGCATATGGCCAAAAAACATCAGAAGTATCAGTGGCCCAGAGGGACTTGAAGGAAAGGCATGTTTGACATCAACCTCAAAAGGTCAAGAATGTAATAAAGATTAAGGTGGAGTGAGGTCAAGGGAGGTCCTGGGGATTGGTAAGGTAGTGCCCAAGCCTGACCTGAATGTCTGTTTCTGCAGCGCTGGTTCTGGTTGGTGAGAGTTCTTCTCAGTCTGTTCATAGGTGCAGAAATTGTGGGTGAGTGTGTGGTGCAGCCCATGAGGGGAGAAACTGGTGTAAGGAAGGAGGTGGGCAGAGGGCATCTGGGAAAATGGGGAATGGGTTGGTTTTTTGCTCCCTCTTCCCATTTTCCAGCTCTTTCTAATGCCCACTCTTTTGCCCTCACCATGCAACCCCATTAGACCTCTTGACCCACAGTCTGCAGAGTCTCACCTCCCATCGCCTCTCCTATTTCCTCTTTTCAGCTTTTCCCTCCCCTACCCTGTCTCCCCACAGCTGTGCACTTCAGTGGAGAATGGTTCGTTGGTAGAGTCTGGACCAACACATCCTACAAAGCCTTCAGTGTGGCCCGTGTTCAAGCCCATGTTGGTCTGCACGTGGGCCTCGTGGGCATTAATATTACACTCACAGGTGAAGAGGCTGGGGCAAAGTGAACTGTTGGGGCTGGGAGATAACCATGGTTGGGGGTGTGTGCCAGGGGTAGATGGAAGGACGTCTCAACATCTCTCAGGCTTGGAAAGCAATTGGTCTTCATGGGTTTGAATTTTCCCAACCATCCTAAACCCATTTCTACCAGCCACAGGCGCCCCGCCCCTACTTCCCTATCTGAATCTGCTTAGTTTCCGGGTTCCTGGTCTTACACATTCCCATAACCCTACTGCTTCCCACAGGGACCCCAGTGCAGCAGCTAAATGAGACCATTGACTACAATGAGCAGTTCACCTGGCGTCTGGACGAAGACTACACCAAGGAGTACGTGGACGCGCTGGAGAAGGGGCTGCCAGACCCAGTGCTATACCTGGCGGAGAAGTTTACACCGAGCAGCCCTTGCGGACTGTACCACCAGTACCACCTGGCAGGACACTATGCTGCAGCTACGCTCTGGTGAGCGCTGGAACTAAAGTAGTGAGTAGGGCGAGGTGGGGTGAGGTGGGGGTGCACGCGAACAGAAGGATGGAGGCCTCCAAGGCATGTTCGGAACTGGAGATACAGCCTTGCGAATCGGAAACTCTTCGGGTCCGCACAAACCGTGAGAATGTGGAGAGGCTCAGCCAAGGCCCAGAGCTTGGGAACCCGCCCTATCCCGGGGATTCCCCGCAACTCTGCCTTCCAGGGCCCGAGCTTTCCCTCCGATGCGGGGCACAAGGAAAATCCCGCTCACTGCCTGGCCTCCCTGCTCCCCTGCAGGGTAGCGTTCTGCTTCTGGATCCTCTCCAACGTGTTGCTCTCCATGCCTGCCCCACTTTACGGAGGTCTGGCGCTTCTGACCACCGGCGCCTTCACGCTCTTCGCTATCTTCGCCTTCGCTTCGGTCTCCAGCGTGCCACTCTGCCGGTTCCGCCTGGGCTCCTCTACGCTTATGCCTCACTATGGCGCCGCCTTTTGGGTCACGCTGGCAACCGGTGAGAATTAAGGGGAACTGCGCGGGGCAACTGGGAGTTGGACTAGATTGATGCTGGGTGGTGCTTTCCAGTTTACAAAATGAGTTCACAGGTATTATCTAATTTGCTCCTCGGAGTGGTTCTCAGAGACAGGCACTGTTATGGCTATTTTATAGATGAGAATAGGGAATGAAGGGTTCAGTATCTTGCATGAGAACCCCTGAATTGTGTAATCCGTATTAGAAGTCTTCCTGCGGTTGTAAATGTGAATGTGTGAGTGTGAGTATGTGTGTGTGTGTGTGTGTGTGTGCGCTCGCGCGCGCGTTTGTGTTTGCAACTCAACGGTTGGGCCCCCAAAGATGGACTGAGGCGGCCAGTTCTGGCCTGGAGCCCTGACCATCCCCCCCACCATCCCCTCCCCCCGCGTCTGCATCTTGCAGGCATCCTGTGCCTCCTCCTCGGAGGGGCGGTGGTGATTCTCCACTACGCTGGGCCCAACGCTCTTCGCATCTTTCTGGACCAAAGCGTCAGGGACTGCAGTGGACAGGAGAAAAGGCGCTCACCTCTCGTCCTCAACAATCCACTGCACAAGCAGTTCGGGGCCCCAAACTTAAGTGTCACTACTAATCTATAAAAGGAACTCGACTCCAGACTCCTAACCCACCTTGGCACCTTGCGGGGGCGGGGGTAGTGCCCACCGGGTGTGGGACTTGAGCTGTGGTGCCGAGAAAGAAGAGCGGCCTTGGACATGCCGCACGCACGAGGAAAGAAGTCTCCGAATGAGCTGTAAATAAACTGTTTTTTAAGAAAAGAAAAGAAAAGAAAAAAAAAAAACCTCTTTCTTCACTAATTTGCATGATTTCTCTGTGCTCTTAGAGAACAAGCCCTCAGGAGGCTTTGCTGGGCTGGAGACAGCTTAGTACTGTGCATTCTGAGTTGCTGCGAAACCGGATTCTCTCCAGCTGGAGAAACCGGATTCTCTCCAGCTGGAGAAACCAGGCTAGGCTTTGGGAGAGGGGCGCCCTCTAGTGCAGGCCGAACGGGAACCGACCTGCACCAGCGTTGTCCTGAGCCGCCCAAGGTGGGTGGGTAGGTCTGAGTAACTAGGCAGGTCATGCTCCTACCTGGAATCCCCTTTGCTTCCCACCTAGACTGGGAGGGAATAGGAGTTTGGAGTTTCTTCACTAACTCTTACCATTGATTTCTTTTGGGGTAGTATCTGAGGGCCAAAGTAAGTGCCAGCAAAGCAAAAAATATAAATCCTGGGACTGTTTTTTTTTTTTTTTTTTAATTTTTATTTTTTACTTTTAGTTGTAGTAGGACACAATACCTTTATTTTATTTATTTATTTTTATGTGGTGCTGAGAATCTAACCCAGCACCTCACACGAAGCCACAACCCCAGTCCCCTGGGACTGTTTTTTTTTTAAGGTCCTTGGTAAACCCTACAATCTCACTTAGCATATTTGAGAACTGAAGCTCAAAAAGAAAGTGGCACAGCTGGTTAATATTAGAAGTGGGATAAGATGTTTGGCCTCTTCTTTCCAATACAGATCAAGGGGCCACACAAGCCAGGAAAGTAAAAGAAGAACAAAGGGGGCCCAGAAAAAAAAAAGAGGAACCAAGAGTGAAGGGGTCCCTAGGAGAATGACACTATAACTCCTGTCCCTCCCCACACATTCCTTATGAGTGACGTTGGGTTGCAATTAATGGCACCTTCACGAGGCAAATCATCCAGGAAAGGCTGAGCAGAAATAGGAGCTGCCCCTGATTGGTCTTACATGGCAATAGTGTTTATGGGCCCAACATCTCTTCAGCACCTTAAGACTTTTTTGTTTCATTTTTTTAAAAAAATCAATAGGTACAGGCATCCTTTCCCACTCCACCTGCAGATGGGAGCTGGGGACCTGACAGAACCCACCCTGACAACAGTTCTGTGATTTTGTGGGGCACCAATGAGGTCTGGAGCCAGGTTGGAAATCCAGGTGGCCGCCAGGGAAGAGGAGACTTATAAGGCACAGTTAGTCTCTCCAGGGTGCTCCTCCTTACAGCATGCCTCAGAGGAAGCCTCTGACAGAGGAATGTCCTGGGGCTCAGGACTCTCTGCCATGGACCTGTATCGGGGGCTCAGGAGCCCTCCTTCCTCAGGACTCCACTCCAGCATATGGTCCTCCTCTGCACTCTGGTTGAAGAAAACCTTCAGCCTGTGGGGCTGCATCCTGTGAGCCACTGCCATGACCAGGCCCAGCAGCACACACAGCAGTCCTGAGGGTGAGAGCAACAGATGTCTTGCCTTAGTGCTAGTAACACCCTCCCAAGGACATCTTCTCCCAGAAACATCGAACAACTCGAAGGAGGCCCAGAGCCCTCCTTAAGGGCAACGTGGGCTCACAGGGGTTACATGGCTTAGGGTCTTATGGATATTGTGAGTCTGTTGTCCTGACTTTCCAGACTCCAAGTCCAGTGCTCTTTTAGTTGTATTCCAAGAAGGAGAGAGAGAGAGAGAGAGAGAGAGAGAGAGAGAGAGAGAGAAGACAGGAGGAAATAAAACTGCATGACAGAACAATTTAGGGTTGTGTGAAACAGGGACATACAAGTATTCTAAGATTGGGGACATAGAAAAGTGTGTTTGGGGAAAAGTAGAGGGTGGTTGGAAGATTTGCAAAAGAGAGAGAGAGAGTTAGGGGATGAGCAACATGACAGATACAGAAGATACAGGGAAGGGAGCATATGTAAGGAGGGAGAGGAAGTGGCATTGAGGAAAGCAACGCAAGAGATGAGAGATATAATAGGGATAAGAATTAAAGAGGGCAAGAGCATCTTGGTCCCTTGAAAAGGACCCTCAAATCCATCAACATTATGGTCCCTGGCTCCCTCCTGGGCCCTTCACTGTCTGTCTTGGGGTGGGGAGTCTTACCTGTGGTCAGTGTGATCCAGAATGCAGGCCCGTGGTGAGTATGCAGCACAGCAGTGCCCAGGTGCATGGGACAAGGTGGGGTGAGTGATGTGACCGTGGAGAAGAAGAGCAGGGCCAACAGCTGGAAGATGCCTGTGGCCAGCAGCATGTGCCCACCATATACCAGCACAGGCATGGACAGCATCACATTGGTCAGTAGCCAGCAGAGGAATGCCACCCTGGAAAGCCAGGACCCACTGAAGACTGGCTCAGGTACCTCCACTTGGTGGCAAGGCCGGAGGGAACAAGGTGGAGGCCAAGGGACCCAAAGATACCCCAAATATGTGAAGCAGGAATTCCTGCCCATGAGTTTCCCAACCAGGCACCAGGGTGACAGAAGTCAGCCCATCCCATGTGGGATATGAATGGAGAAGAGATGGGTAGAAACCTTATTTCTGGGTCCCTACTAAGCCAGTAGGGACCCCATCCCATCCCCTTCCCATGCTCACCACAGCATGGCTGAAGCATAGTGTCCTGCCAGGCGGTACCGGTGGTACAGGCCACATGGGCTGCGAGGAGTGAACTTCTCAGCAAGGTAGAGCACAGGATCTGGCAGCCCCCTCTCCAGTGCCTTTGCATACTCCTCAGCATAGTTCTCACCCAAGCGCCAGGTGAACCTCTCATTATAATTGATGGTCTCATTCAGTTGCTGCACTGGGGTCCCTATGGAATAAGGCAGCTGTGCTCAGCAGGGACTCAAGATCTCAAGTAGGGAACTTGCCTGGGTGTGTGCAGCTGTGTGCAGCTCACCCTCACTTGGCAGAAGGCCACAGGAGCTGATCTCAACCGAGAGAAGTCAGCTCTGAATCCACCATACCCCAGCACCCAATACCCTCCTAAACCCTGTGCCAGGCATGCTATAGTTCTTTGGACCATACCAAAATAGATCCATGTCAAAGGTACAGAGCATATCCTTCTCCCTCCTTCCCATGTAAGAGCCCTCCCTCACCTGTGAGTGTGATGTTGACTCCTCCTAGCCCGACTTGCAGCCCAATGTCAGCGCTGATCCACTCTGGACTGAAGGCTTTGTATGTTGTGTTGGTGCTGACCTGGCCTACAGACCACTCAGAACTGAAAGTCACAGCTGGGGTTGGGGAGTTGGATATATGAAAACTCAGGGAAGTCTAGGCATTATTGGGTTCATCAAAATGAGAGCTACATGTCTCTATTGGTCACAGTTGTATGCCTATTAACTAGCCTGGGATCTGGTTCATAGTTAGCCTGCCAACCACTGATGTAGGATGAATAAGTGGGTCAGAAAATAAATGGGTCAGAATCTAAGACTTCCCTTGCTCAAATTCTGCTCTTCCCCACCTGCATTTAAAGACAGTTACTCAGGCAGCGGAAGGAGGAAGCATTAACCTAAACCATGACAGGCAGACACAGATAACTTTAACATAGAAACTTTTTGCCTAATCACCAAAGGTAAGCAAGCAGCCCTCCCCTGTTTTCTTTGGACCTGTCCCTTGAGGCTTTCTGCCTATGTTCATTATAACTGGGAAAAAAAAAGTTGAGGAGACACATCCTGCAGGGTTTCCTGGCTGGCACCTCAGTGGGCAAGGGTAAGAGGAAGATTAAGGGGATGAGGCCATGGTGAGAGAGGGGGTGTGGGCAGGGTCTGGAGGCCTCTGTGGAGAAACAAGGAGAGGAGAAGCAGGCTGCTAAGGGCACTTCACAGGATGAAGGCAGCTGCCCAAGTCAGCGGTCCTTGGCACTCACCCAGGATCACAGCCCCGATGAATAAGCTGGTCACCACCCGCAGCAGCCAGAACAGCCTCTGAGTCACAGGGTGGGTGGGTTTAGTAAGCAGTGCCCTCCTTCCAAGTCCACCCTTCCTCTGTGCACACTTGGGGAGGGCAGGGATTCTACAACTGAGGCCACTTGGTCAATTGGGACCAGAGCGTCTGATACATAATAGGTCTGAGTCTGGATTTTGACCCTCTGGATCCCTTATTCTGAAGGTGAGGTCTCTCTGGGGCAGGGTCTCCAGGTCTGTAATTTTTTCTTACCGTCTTGCCCCGAATGCCAGGCAGGATGATGATAAAGGTGACTAGTGCAGTCAGAAAGATAGTGATGATGACTGCCAGGGCGGTGTCCATTGGGAAGGTTGGCTTGGGGTCAGCATAGAAGGGGAATACGTGTCCAAACACAGCCATTGTGGTGGGGGTTAGTGGAGAAGCCAATGCTGTACAAAAACAGTGGACATTTACTGAGTGCTCTCTATGTACCAGCATTATTCTTGATGCTGGAGATGAAGCAAGGAATAAACCAGATCAGATAGATCTCTCTTCTTTCAAGGTTACCTTTTAGTGCCTTAGCAGTCTCCACCATGTACTGACATTCTATTACCCCTCAGCCATCCATCTCCCCATCTTTTGGCTGTGACAGAATTAGGCCACTGGCAATCAGTCTCTGCTGCCCCATGCTGCCTTCCTAATCCCTTGGTCCCCTAAATCAATGTCACCATTACTCTTGAGGCTTCTCTATTTCTTCTGGGACTGTCTTAAGAAATATAATTCTCCTTTATTTCCCTCAGGCCTCTAGCACAAGCTTAAAGATCACAGAGCATAAAAAGAGCCATATTTACTATCAAGTGATGGCATAAGGGTAAAAGATGATACAGATTACAAAAAAGAAAAAAAAAAGATTTGCTTTGGACCCCAAAGGAACAAAGGCCAAACAGTTCTGCTACATGTATAGCAAAGGACTGATTCTCAGACCTTGCACTGTCCACATCATTCTATCCAGCTTTCTCAAGCATCCTGGCTCCTGTTGTGGTGACTCCAGAACAATTGAGCTTGAGTCCACCTGAATAAGCACCAAAAGGGCATCTGTGCTCTACCAGGCACAGTGCTGGGCCCACATGTCCTTCTATTCCATTTGTCATCAACATTGAGCCTTCTCTTCAATTCAAATTCCCAGGCCATTTCAGCTCAAGATCTGGCTTTGGATTTCTCTGCCTGTTCCCTGATCTCAGAACTTGTTTAACTCCAGATTGTCTCTTTAAGGATATTGGGGAAATGGCACCTGAGCCTAATGTGTTTAGGTCTCAGACAGAACTGGATGCAAGATACATTAATAGTTTATGTACCACAAAAAAAGAAAAAAAAAGTACTGCCAATTAAACCATGATTGCCATGGTTGGTAAGACCATCATCAATTTCAGAGATGTCAAAATGTGTGTGTGTGTGGAACATCTTAGAATTATAAATCCAACTTCTGCTCACTTTGCTGTGATCTGTATTGCGGTCTCAATTTGCTCAGGAGACTCTGTAACTTAGTCTGCCATGCACTATCTTATTTAGTGATATGGTGAAAAGAATAAGCATTGGAGTCAAGCAGCTTCAAACAGTTTGAATTCTGCCTCTGCCTCTGCGTCTTGCAACTTCTTGACCTCTACAGAGATCTGGTTTTGCTGAAAAATGGAGATAATAACATATACTTCACAGGGTCATTATGAGAACAAGATTGTGTATGTAAAGTGTTAAGATTAGTGTTGATAACAAATAAACTTCTGGATTAGGACATTTTTATTACTCCCTTTATCTCTTTCTCCAATTTTTCTTGGAAAGAATCCTGGACTGGAATTATTTCAGAGTTCAGTTTCAGTTCTTTACTCACTAATAGCTTAACAGTAGGCAGGGGATGATCTCGCTAGTCTGAAGGTTTCTCATCTGCAACTGGATATGATGAACTTCAGATTCCTTCTAGTTGTACTGTTGGGATTCTCTTACAATAAATACACTCCAGCTCTCAACCTACCCCTTTCCTAAGCTGGTTACCTCCTTGTGCAGTCTGAGGGGATTGTATGTTGTCCAGGAAAAAATGAGGGACAGACAGCTTTAACCTAAAAAAAAAAAAAAGAAGAAGAAGAAGAAGAAGAAGAAGAAAGAAAGAAAAAACTGTATTTTATTTATTTTTATGTGGTGCTGAGGATCAAACCCACATTTGCTAGGCAAACACTCTACCACTGAGCTACAACCCCAGCCCCAGCTTTAACATTTAATCCTATCTTTTGAGCAAGTCATACAAGCTCTGAGTCTCAGTCTTAACATAAAGTTTTTGCTTTTTTCTTAAATGTTCAACTCTCCCATCCCACAGGAGTAGGTGTTACTTTTCTCTCCATTGCTGCAAATCCACCCTTCTGGGCTCTCCCCACTCCTGCTTGCTTTCTCCACCACCTTGATCATCAATTATTCCCTCTCCCCTTCATAACTTTCTAATTTTTTATCTCTGCCAGCTACTTCTTTCAAAGATATGCTCAAATTTCTTCCATTTTAAGAAAACAACAACAACGACAAAGAAACCTTCTCTCTTGTGCTTCTGGGTTCCCTCAAGCTACTGTTATTCCTTTCACAGCAGGCTTTTTGAAAGAATGGTATATGGTGGTATATCCACTGCCTTAGCTCTTCAACCTATTTCAATGTTTTTATCATCCTTGCCTTTTCCATTAAGTTACTAAGTGATAAACTCAAAGGGAAATTCTCACTTTTTATCCTTCTTGAACTTTCTGTGGTATTTGACTCTGCAGAACACATTCTCTTTCTTCATACTTTTACTCCTTGGATCTCTATGACACCATGTACTCCTTGGCCTCCTGTCTTTGGCCATCCCTCTTGGCTCCTCTGCTAGTTCTTCCTCCCTATTAAATGTTTATGCTCCCCAGGATTCTGTCTTGGTCCTCTTGGGTATTTTCACTTGGATGTTTCTTTGCTGCCTCAAATTTAACAGGTCCCAAATGGAAGGCACCATGTCTACCTGAGTGTTACTCATTTTCTTTGGCAGCATCACCATTCATTAATCAAATAAGCTAGAACCAGGACTATCTTACTTTCTAAATAGTTCCTGAAACATCCACATATTTCCTTCCCTACTGCCTCTGTCCTAATTTAGTCATGTCCTCTCCCTGGTACCAGAATATTTTTTTCCAATAAATAAATATAATAATTATTTTTCTTCTCTTCTCTGGGTAAATTCTAATCTTCTCACTGTCCAATAGAAAGTACCCTGTGATCTGGTTGTCACCCCCCACAAATCCACACCCATCTTATCTCCATTTCCATTCTTTGCCCGACTTATTCTATAGCCACTTTGAACTGTTCACCTCTCCCCGGATCTGACATTCTCTTTCAAGCTTCTTGCCTTTGTATATGCTATTTCCTCTGCCCAGAATGCTCTCACTCCCTTGGCAAACACCTGGCACATGTCAAGTCTCAGCTTGTTTTATCTCTTCTGTGAAGTTTCCTCTGATGCCACTGGGCCTATGTGGATGTTCCCTATTCTAACATTCTGAGTGCATTTTGAGCCTATCTCCATGATCACAATAATTACAGTGTACCCTAATTGTTTGAATAATGTCTCCCCATTAGACTCAATTTCCTTGAGGGCAGGGACTTAATCTTTCCATCTTTGCATCTTTCCTGCATGTAGCATATACTAATCAGGCTCTGGATCAAAAGAATGAATATGAATGAGTTCTTCTCACAGACCTCTTCTGGTTTCTTACACAAGGGGGAGCTATGCTCTGTCATTACACTATACTCAGTCCACATTATCACCAATGCAGAACTAAGGGCTGGCAAGAAGGGATTTCACTAACTCTCAATTTTTAGTGATTTCAAAAATTTTTCACAAAATCTCTTCCAATAGTTGGCATCTCCCAAACTAGTGAAGACCCAAGCGTAAGTGTTCATGTTTAATTGAATCTGAAAGATACTAGCTGAAGATGAGTGATTAAGAATTTGTGGATTAAGCTGTTTTGTGAAATATGTGATAGGAACCTTTATTTTGAAGGAGATGTTTATGGGTCTGAGAATTTTTTATTTATATCACCTAGATGAAAACATTATATTTTTTATGAAAGGATATAGGAGGAAGGGCTATAAAATGTAGAATATCTTGGTTAACAAGATAGGCAGATAAAACAAGGTTATTGACAGCAAGGAATTCATGTTATATATTGGAAGGTCAAAAACAAATATTTGCAATATAAGCAAATAATAAATAATATAATGCATTTTGGTCAGGGGTGCTTATTAGTATTATTCCTGCATTTATTTTAATGAGATGTTATAAATATTTTACAAGAATGGCTCATCTCTCTTAACATGATGCTTCAAAGAAACAATAACAAAAGGTTTTCTATACCTAAAGTACAGAAAGGCATTGTTAATTTATTTCCAGTTCTCCAAAATACCTATTAAAGATGACTAAAGCAAAAAGACAGTTGGTGAATAAAATTTGTCTTGCTTAATCTCTTCTGGTTCTGGTCTTCCTTAATTTAGATAGCTCAGTTTAAAGTTAAGATTTCATGACTCCAATCCTAATTTGAGTTTCTTTATTAAGTTAACAGGGCTCCTATGTGAAGAGGTAGGACTGAAATGAGAAGTCTCTACACCCAGAAATCCTGCTTTTCTTACAAAGTTTGAGATTCCCTTGGGACCATCTTTCTCCCTGACTGACAAGTAGAGTCTGCCAATAGAATTGATTCTATTCTGGCAAAATCTCCCACTTCTCCCCTAGCTCGCCACCATGATTGCTATATAGCCATAGTGTGTATTGATATAAATAAGCAGACATAAGATACAGTCAAACACACACCTACACCTTTACATAAATAGAGACACAGACACAAGAAGGAGGCACCCAAACACTGACATGTTCAGTAACACAGACTTCTATGTTATTCCATTAGTGGTCCCTGTGATAAAATTGGGATACTTTCTCACTTTTGGATGGGCCAATTAGTGCACTTTGCATGAGAGAGGCACCATTCTCTTTTCCTGTACTCCCCTTAGGTACTAAAGTCTTTCCTCATGCTCAGCTGTATTGCAGATGCAGTTATCCAGTCCTTACCTACCACAGGGTGAAGTGGGGTTTTGGTCTGTGTATGACGGGTGGGTACAAGATAAAGTTACAGTCATGAAGAAAATCAGTCTAGTCTGCTCCAGTTTTCATCATTCAAAGTCATGTGCTCTGTTACTGCTCTGTGACCTTTCTTGGAGTTTGATGGGACTTCTTCCTGAAGTCTTGCCCCTGCTGGGAATCCATAGAGTAAGAACTACTAATCCCCTAAAAAGGAGGAGTGAATGACATGCCTGAAGTTGCCAAGAGACCTGATTGGCAATGCATAGCTCCTGGAATGTGATGATTTATG